AAAATGTAATACAAATGTTCTATTTAGACTTTTTATGACTCATAAAATCGTCGATAATATACATTCGGTAATCGTTCGTGTTTTTAATGTATTTTTATTAATTCATAATTTAATATATGTGTAAATTATTACAATATGTGTAGTTTGCTTTATCTTTTTGCAGATTTTTTTAGAGATATAAATATTGATGAAGAGGAATTAAACAACGATACGAGTTAGTAAATATACCGCAATTATAAATGAATTATGTTTTAGGACGTATATAATTGTTTTAAATTATGGTGGATGATTTAGTGGATATCGCATGAGTCAAAATTCCGGGCAAAATTATTTTTCGAAATAAAACCCATAGAGAATATTTCAAACGTGAAAACTGAGAATATTTTAGTTTATTAGATATTTTTATGCGTTTAATCAGAAAATGAAGAAATATTTTGCAGCAACTAAACAATTTTCTGAGCCTGGTTGTTTTGATTCCGTATATACACGCCCTGTCAGACACAGAATCACCGTCTATTGTTGGAATGTTTTCCTCTTATGGGAAAACGGCCTAATCTATGGACAACTTTTCTATCAAATATCTTACTCCAATTTTTATCTGTGCCAATTTTTCCGAAAGGTTATCAGTGTGAAGAAGTACTTCAATGAAGTAATTTTTCGATTTTCTCAGGAGTTTTTTTAAGAAAATGTGCATAACTTAATTAGGGGATTGATTATTTTGGGAAGGCATTATTTAAGTAAATATGGTTACCATTTGACTCTTTTTAATTAGATTTAAACCCTGTCATATATACGTTTGTGGTACCATTAGTAAAATATTCAACATGTTCAATACTTTTTATACGTCTAATAGTTTGTGAATACATTTTAAAAAATAATTTTACTTTATATTTGTTGACATTCAGTTCCTGCAAAATCAAAAGAAGAAAATGCGCAAGGTGAAACCAAATAAAATTGAGTAATTTAATTGTTGTCAGGACTTTTAAATGTTAAAGTTACCTAACTGACGAAATTTTTTTATTCTTATATTAGCACCAGCTGATAGATCAGAACATAATAAAGAAATAAAAACACCTGAAGTCAATGGTATTATTAAAACTTATAAAAAATTACTACAAAATATTTCTATCATTCTTGTAGTCGTTTCGGTGTTTCAAATAAATTGAGGAGCAATTTTTTTTTTTAATTTGCATTTATGCTAATGGTTCACATTAATCAAACAAAATATGGTCTACCATTTGACTCTTTTCAATTAGATTAAATCCCTACTATATGTATTTGTCATGCCATTAGTAAAACATTTAACACTTTTAACTCAATTTGTGAACATGTTTAGAATTATAATTTTACTTTATATTTGTTAAGATTCAGTTCCTGAAAAACCAAAAGATAAGAATGTGCAAGGTAAAAACAAATATAATTGAATAATATTATTATATTTAAACCTTATCGAACATTAAAAATATATACGTCTAAATTCATGACCAATTTTACTTGTGGTCTTTTTTGATGATTTGGAGAAATTTAGGAATATTTTATTTTTTTATTTTTGAATAATGCTTATGGTTTTGATGAATTTAATAAAATACATTATTATTTGATAAAAACCTTGCCACATTTATTGTTAATACATTTGTTAAACAGTCAACTTATTGTGAGGTTTCGGGCTTTTTAATGTGTCCTATTCACTCCCACCAGAGGAGGGGAGCACTTGCCTGGTGACCTATGAGCCTATATTCAGAGGGAAATCTCGATATAACTCATAGGTTTTATTAATTGTAGGCTTCCAGGTGATTTTGGACGAGGGAACAGGTTGAGGAGCAAAAATATAGGTGACACTATAATTTAAAAAAAAAGAGAAGTTTAGAATAATCACGAGGATATATTTTATAGGAAAACTGGGTATACTAGTTATTGACAGATATGTTAAATTAATGAAACTAAAAACAACATGGTTTTTATAAGTGTTAGGGGTATGAGGGAAACAGGTATACTTTATGCAATAACTATGTTGTGTCGGCTTGAGTTATTGTTATAGGTTTCGCCCGCCTCGGGCCCACCTGAAAGTTCTAGCACATCATGGCTGACGTCGACTGTGGTCCACAGGTTTACAAATATGTTTATTATGTTTTTTTTTTTTTATTTATGGACAACTTTTCTACCAGATATCTTAGTATGATTTTTATTTGTAGCACCTTTTCTGAAAAGATATCGGTATGGATATTCTAAAGAAGTCATTTATCGAATTTCTCTGAAGTTTTCTCGAAAAAATGTAAAAAACCGAAAATGAACTAAAGAAAATCGGAAAAATAGGGCCGTACTATTTTTAACTACCCCACCTAAATTTCTTACATTTTCTCGTTATTCCTCCATTTTTATTTGGTTTTTCACGTTTGTTGAGAAAAATCCTGAGAAAATTGAAAAATGGTCTCTCCAAAGTACCTCCCCTGTCAAATACTTTCAGAAAAGGTACTACACTTAAAAATTGGAGCAAGATCTCTGTCAGAAAATTTGTCCACAAAAAAAAAAAAAATTAAACATCTTTGAAAAAAACCATAAGCTTCTTCGCTTCAATCAGAATCTAAAAAAACATAAATACAAAATAAAATAAAATAATATGAAATAATTGATAGATTATTTTTAAAAGCGGTTTTTTTTTTTTTTAAAAGACGTACTAAAATGTAAGATTAAGACATAACATAACAAAACTAAAAGTAGCATTCCAACGATGTTACTTTGTGTAATTTAATACAACATATTTTCCTAATAAAATTATATTTATTTTGAATAATTCATAGACAAAGAAAAAAAAGTAGTAAATAGAGTCACTCCAAGTCGTCCTTCAAGAAATTTGTTATGGTTCATTCCTACAACTGTCAGTCTGATGAAGAAAAAATTTGCTAAATAAATATATAGGTAGACCTATTTTATATTATTCATAGTACTATGTCATACAAGTGGCGGTCAAACGAAGGGGAAGTGGTATATTCTCCATAACCTATTCCCCTTTAATATTTATAATAATATATATTAGATATCCAGCACGCGCCTTTGCCCATGAATAGTATTGAACGAAATAAAACCGTGTCTCTTCGTGACATTTTGTTCTACCCACGGGCTACGTTCTAATTACGTACAGTTAACCGTTCTTTCTCAACAATATACTTTTTTAAAAGGTTCTTTCTTACGTGTTAACTAAAATTAAGGTAAAATATAAGAAATGTTTTTTTCATCAAATGTCACCAGGGTAACAAATAAATCAAAATTAAAAATTTAATTTTCATTTCAAAAATACGAAATACATTAATGTGTTTTGTGTAAGCTACATTAAAGTTTGATTTTCAAAAATCTAGTTTTGAAGTGCATATATTCATTCATCTGCTTCCGTATGTAAATTTCCAGATCTCTGTATGTGATAGATTCAGTAGTACATCATGCACAAATAAAAAGACAAGGTTCATTTCCCTGGCAGCCCCAGTAAATATTGATTTTTAATATATATATAATATAATATAATATAATATAATTTTTTTTATATTTAAACACATACCATTTTTTTTTTCGTGTGGTATCAGTGATAGAATGGGAACTGCAAAGATACTACTTTCGGTTCAAAACTATCGTTTATTTAAGAACACTTATTACAAAAACATATTATACATTCAACAGCTATGGGGGATGCAACAGGGTGTCTCCTGTCACTGTGACCCGACAGATAAACACAAGTACTCAGAAGTTATAAGCCTCTTGGCGGACGAACCGCAATGCCACCCGTAGTCCTATTGTAGTCTCTTTCGGAAGTTACTCTTCGCGGGCCGGTACCGTCTGCCACCCATGACTTCACGTTGACTCACCGCTTCGTGAACCGGCTTAGCCCGTCTGCTATCGCGTGATCTCGTCGATGGCGATTTATTTCCATGCCGCCCTCGTCGCCCGTCCACCGGTACCATAATTACTACGGACGGTAGTTACTACTACTACCTCCGATATGTTCGATTAAATCGACTGCCGTCCGTAAACTTAATCTGTTGAATGCACTTAAACACATACCTAGGACCTCATCACACATCATCAAAGTACGATTATGTATATTATATTCCATCAAGGTTGCGTTTGCATATTATATTATCTAGCTGCCTTTATTTGGTGCATTAATTGCCTGTATCAAATTATAATTTGTTTTTTTTTTTCGTAATCCTAAAATTTAATATTTAGATCAACAATTAGGTAAAAAGCGAACAAAACAGATAAATAAATTATTATTAATAAATTCAAAATTGTGTTTTTGGAGTACGTATATATCGTACAAAAAATAAAACAAATTTGTAAAACAATAAATAAAAAAAAAGGAATAATGTGTTCAGGATTCGAACTCGAGTCCTATGTCCAGCGTATTTAATGTACACAATGATATTTTTTAAAATTATTCAAATAACGATACACAGTTCTATAATATGATTTTAATTATTTTCTGTTACTAAATAAATTTGATGAAGACTTAAATGTGATACTGATTTTGAATGAATTTTTTCATGTTTGAATATACATAATGATCCCACATAGCTGACATAGCATTAAAGTCATAGGCGTGCATGGAGGGGGAGGTGGGAATCTGCCCTTCCTGCGGGCTAAATTTTTCTTTCATTAACTGTGAAATTTCAATTATTATATTAAACTTGTAATTAAATTAATGATATATAAAATTAAAATACTTCCATCACTAATATTAATTGAACTAACTAATAATCAAAATAATATTAAATTATAAATTATATATTCTACCCTCCCTGCAAGCTAAGTCTGCGCACGCCCACAGTTACATTGTTTATTGTATATTTCATTAAGGTTGGATATTTAATATTTGTACAATTTATATAATATAGTTCTTAATATTCCTACATCTGAGTTAGGTTTAGTTATTGTAAAAGATTAACTTTAAAGATAAATTAATACATTATTAGATTCATAATTGTCTGCTGGTCAGATGTAAATAAATTATATAGGGAGGGGAGAAGTGAGTGATCGATGCTCTTAAATTTATGAAAAATTGAAAAAAAAAAACCGATAATAAATTGTGTGTATATAATACTCGTATTTATATAATATTCGTGTACATATAAATTATAAATATTGATTTATAGTAATACTCCATCTATCTATAGAATTTTCAATATAGATTTTCATTTGAAAAACCAAAGTTGGTATCGCTACAGGATTCTCCTTAAATGTTATAAAAAATCTAAGTATTCGAAAATATCGGCTTTAACTACACTTATAAATTCCAAAAATTAGAATTTGAGTACTTACACGTAAAATTTAACTAAACCAATGGGGTGAGCACGCTTAGTGAGTGGAAATCATCCTGTACATACATAATAAAATATCCTAAGTTTTGTTTCATTTAAAATTTTTAAATTTTAAGGATGGGTGGCATGCAAACATAGGAGACTTTTTGTCTTTGTTGCTCATCAGTTGTTTTGGTTTTTGAGAGCACATACACGACGAGCAACTATCTTCTAAAAGAAGATTTATCTGTTATTGTAATACATTTGATAAGTGCATATTATTTTTGTGTGCGCCCACCCTAAGAAAATAATATTATACATTATTATATTTCACATTCGTTAGTTAGGAATTTACATTTTTTTTGTCTGGTGTTGACGCAACTATTAATTAACTATTAATTATTATTTACTATTAACGTAATTATTTAACTTGTTTTTAAAGAAAACCCAACCCGACAAAATGTTGAGATAACGGTTCGTTATAATAATAATAAAATAATAATAAAGATAATATAATATAATAAGATAATATATATAATATTCCTACTGTATTATGCTACACATTACGATAAATTAACTGCTTATTGTTAAATGTTAAGAGAACACCACTCCAGTATCTACTTTCTCTGTCTTACAAACGTATGACATAGTAAATTTGCGTTCATAGATTATGATTCGTAGATGATATGACTAAGAAAAAATTGATAATAATATGTAAACAAACTTTAATGGAAAATAATACCTTGTACAATCGTACTTTGACGCTGTGTGATGGGATTATAATATAAAATTGTATCAGGTTTTGCTGCACATAGTTTGAATTCTAAAATCGAACACAAACCATCACAAACGAATGGTGTAAGTTAATATTCAAAACTAATGTTGGTAGTGTTGAAGCTGTTGTTTTAGTAGTACCCCCTTTATAAAATTTGTTAAAAATCAAAGTTAACTGCACAAACGCTCTAACTTGGAACATAAAACCAGCACAAAGGAAGGTCCCTAGTTTGATTCCGAAATTCTTCGTTGAAAATACCAGATAAATACACCCAAACAAACAGACAACCACTTCCTATTATTAATATAGATTATTTATTTATTCATTAAACTACATAATATGAGTAGTGACGAAGTATAAAACTTAAAACATTTTAAGACTCGTTTATTTAAACAATTAATTTCATAATTTGTAAAAGTGTCAATTATTTCAAACCTACAACATAATATAAATAATAATAATTGTTAAACAATTCTAAAAAATCAGCCTCATCCCACCATTCATAATAAAATCATTTAACCGCCACTGTATCGTATATATTAAGGCACTATAGTATTCGTTTTATCATATTATTATATTTTTAAGTGAGACGATTCCGCTGCAATATTGCCTACGTATGGTTGTGTCCAATCGTTATAAAATTAACTATAACATATTTAATTGTATTAAAATAATATTTAAATTGGTAATATATTATTGTTCATAATATTTTCTTACATATCTGTAAATAATAATTTAATAAACCTATTACAAAGTTTGTATTTTGAATAATAATAATTAATAAACTTAATCACAAACAATTTTTCTAACGAGTACTTTTATATACCTATTCCTCATTTTGTTTTCATACATTCTTTCGCGTTTTATTTTTTTGATTCTGTGGAATTTGATATGATTTTTAAAAACGTCGTACATAATACTGCCTAACGTTTTTCCTTACATAAATTATTTTTGAAATGTTTATCTAAGGAATCGGATTTTTTTTTTTATCGAATTCATATAAAGTTATGTAGAAATATGTATTAAACTTTTAAATTTAAACTTAAACTTAAACTCATACAATTTTTAATATTATGTGTTTTTCACGTAATGTTTATTTGATAGGTGTTCTGCAATAAATTGTTAGACTTAACAGAAATTTCTGAGAATTTTATAGGAAGTTCAATATAAATTGTACTTAGTAGAAAAAAAAAAATGTTAAACATGTTTTTTTTTTTATAAGAGTTTTAAAATTATATTTTGACGACAATTGGAAATGCTGCAGTCTTTCAAAATTCAAAACGTGTATTACCGAACTTCGCTCCGAATCGTTTTTCACTATCAATGGTTTATCATTGGTTACAAGTATAAATTAAATAACTTTACGTATCCCACTTTACCTAATACCCACCTATAACAGTGATTACATCCATCCCTAGTATTGGCTCTTTTTTTTTTATTGGCAAAGCAAGGAAAACATCTATAGTGATGTGTGTTCTTTTGTTTGTTTGTTTTAAACAATATTTTGACCGGAAAAATAGCTCCGAACATCAGAAATGGTTTATTGCAGAAAATGATTTCAAGTTATTTCATTGAGAATATTGCATATTCCATGAATATTATGCAGAACAACGGTTGATTTTTGACAAAAAAAAAGTTTATACGATTGATGTATCCAATAGAGTATCTAACTAAAAATTGTCTGAAAAGTTAACTTATTTAGCGGTTATTAAATATCTGTAAATTATATCTTTTAAAATTATTATTAAATTTATTGTTATACCATATAAGATGTCTATGTATGATATAATACAAAAATACATTATACACTTTAATTAAAAACACTTGAAGCTGCTGGGAGAAACGATAATATTCAATCTTCTTCAACTATTTTTTTTGTCTAAATTTTAAATAGATAGGTAAGTAAATTTAATTTTGTTTTATTTAAAATTTTCTAAAAGAAGTTATAGGACAGCAATATAATTATTTGATTTATCTCATATAATCATATTACTCATATTTTATTTCTTAGTCTTTTGATTTTCCGAAACTTTAAAGTTGCAATACTGAATATATTGAGATTATTGAATATTATTCTTTTTTCCGCAGCCCTACACTTTATATTATACAAAATTGAATATACGTATATAATATAAACAAACAAAAAAAAAAAAAACTATATTTTAGGAGATAAGTTTTGATAGTTATTAGAAGATTGGAGGATACATAATTATTATAAAAACATTATCTATGTTTTTACGTTGATTCACGTTTAGATATTTATTTTCAACCAAGATATGAATACCTATGTGAAATATCACAAATTAAAAATGTTCATGTCTCGCTTGAAAGTTAATATAACGGTAAAACAGACATACAAACACAGATAATGATTTGATTTGTTATACTATTAAAACGAACAGCATACAATTGTCATAGCTGATCGAAAATTATCTAGCTGTCGTGCGTTTGTTAGACGGAGGCCACAGATATATAAACATAGTAGATAGCGGACGGCCATTTACTTGATATTATTAAAGTGTGTCTGCGGTGGTTATTTATCAAGACGACAATGTTTACATCATGCAAAACTGATAATGAATCATAAATTAAAACTACTTGATTTTATACGTTTTTATATTCTGCACTGTATAAAAGTATTTTTATTTTATTTTTTTAATTAGTTGTTTAATTAAGATGTTTTAGCTTTGATGTGTAGTTGAGCAGGTATCGTTTTCTCAATGAAGTGTTTTTATTTATTTACTTTCCAGTCAAACATTCCAGTTCAATTGAAATATATATAAATAGTTAACACTTAATATTAATACAAAATAGAAAATACCAAAATATATTATGTTGGAATTATAAACAACACACTGTGTATTACGTAGATTACAAGTAAACTATTCACACTGTAATATAGTAGACGCTGAATAAACATGTATTTTTATTATAGCATATTAGTCTTCAGTAGTAGCTTATATTTAGAACGGTTAGTCGTCGGTTTATATTTCTGAGTGGAGTTCGGTTAATAGCATTGCCTTGTCAACAATAAGTTTATTATATGCCATATTATTATTTTTTCTTTGAACACCTATTCTACCGAAAATTCTGCTTCGATTTTCAAGTGCAACACATAATTTGAAAGATTTTGACTGAGGTAGTGCTTTAAGAAGGCTTTTTTTGATTTTCCTAAAGTTTTTCATAATAAATAAAATAAAAACATAGGAAAAATAGGAAAATTTTCAAAAATTATTATTTCCAAATCGTAAATACAGGCTGTTACACGAAAATATACTCCTTGAATATCTCCGGAGATAATAAAGATAATCAAGTTCTGTTTTTTTTTATATATTTCTCATAAAGATGAGGACTACAAATATTTATATTTGAATTAAATATTTTTTTATTAAAAATATTTAAAAAAAAATTGTTTATTTTATTATATTCTAGGTAATAACCTAACCGGTTTCTCGATAACATCGGTTTTCACACGGATTAGAAGAATTTAAAACGGTAGAAACTATTCATCGGATATAAATGTGTGATACACTAAAATTGTCAGAAAAATAAAATCTACAGAATCTTAAAATTTTCCGAAAATAATAAAATAATTTTTTTTTATTCTTTTGATAAAAAAAAAAAATTAAAATGTAAATATTTGTAGACCTCATTCCTGTAATTCAAAAAACAACAAAATTTAATTGTCTTTATTATCTCCGAAAATATTCAATGGGTATATCTTCGTGGGGCAGCCTGTATTACGGTCTTTCAAAGCACGTACAATCGAACTCCGCTCAGAATCATTTTTCGGTAATTAAAGTTATTTTTCTAAAACTAAATTGGAGTTTTGGAAGAATATTGTTTTCCTCTAGGTATGCCAGTAGCCCATTTTTATTGCTCTTTCAATGATTTTAAATAAGGTGCTAAGTAAACTTATGAGTTATGGGTCTGTACATATGTACATATTTTAATGCAACTACCTTTGTGTATCGGTGTTATGGTTGCAATTTTTTTATTTAATTGATGCGTTTTGTTAAAAAAAATACAATAATATTTACTATTTATTAAATGATATTTTATGTTTATTATATTAATTCATTTTAAAGATTTGGCAGAGAATACATGATCCATAAAAAGTGTAGAGACGAGGCCTCTCATATGTAGGTTTAGGTAGGATGAGTAAATTTTGAAACGACTTAAGCACTTAAAGAGTTATAAGCTGTTTTCAAGCATTTATGATAAAAATCATTAAAAGTATGAACTTAGGCACAACTGTGTGGTAAAGTAAAGATTTCATTATTTATTTAGTTGTTTATCTGTTGATGTTCAATGTTCATATGGCAAGCGTATAAAACAAATATCGTACAAAATAAGGTAAAAAGCAATTTATTGTTATCTCGTGCAGTCTAATACTTGGTAAAAACAAATTGTACGATTATAAAAAAATAAAAAAATGGTTATTATATCTTTGAACTACGAAGTGCTATTCATTTCAATCATTTGTATGGTAATTATTAATTTGGCAAACACGAAGATAAATATAGATTTTGGTAAGCATAATAATTATTTAACTTTTAAATAAACAATATAGGTGCTTCTCTTAATAATACTATAGGTATGTATAATATGAATTTTATTTCTAAAAAATTATTATGTAAATGCAATCGTAACTAGACATTGAAGTTAATATTTACATAATATGTGAATATGTATCAAAATTAATATAATTAAAAGAAATATTCTCCCTTCCTGACAACAAACTTAAAAGTAATTTATTATCTTATTAAATACAATGGGATGACAAAAATTAAGTACGTCTTTCAACTAAAATTTTATCGATTTATGGATTTTTTTTTATGGAGGATACTATTCGAAATTAAACACCACAGTTGTGGTTTATTTGAAAACATAAGGATGAATAAAACAAAAGCATTATGCATAATTTTAGAATTTTCTAAAACGATTTCAACAAAATAGTTAACATTTTTCGCGATTCTAAAATAATTAAATATTTTATAGATATAATTATAATTCATTAAAACGGACAGATATTTATGCATAATAAAACAAAATTTGGTATTTCACTGGGATTGAAGGATTTGTTCATAAACAATAATATAAATATGGCATTCATTTTTATTTCAGATTTACCAAAAAAATATGAAATCAGTTACAAAGAATACTATTTTAGATCACTAGTTCGTTGTGAGTATTTGGTATACGCTTATACTTTATTGAATTTTTGTAAACTTGTATAAATTCACAGTTCAGTAAACATGTGGTTGGCTTAACAATTATTATCTGGTTGGTCTGTAAAGTTATATTTATTGAATGGGTAGCATTTCACAAAATAACAATCTAATAGGTGGTACCTACACAATTTTTTTCCATTTAAGTATCCAAAATATGTATGTGATTCATATAATTCATAATGAATTTAATTAGCCATACTACATACGTAATAATGATGGTTCACTGATGATTTTATTGAAACTTAACATGTTTGTTGCCTTATTATAGTTTTAAAATAATATCCCAAATACCTGCTTAACATATTATGCCTATAGGCATTAGACATACCTAAGAGCAAATATGTTCCTCCAAAAATGTCAATAGTTCCTCAAACTTCTTCTGTTAATTTTTTACATTTATTGAATTGAATATTTTTAAAGACATAATATATAACAATAAATAATTATACCGAGGTATTTATGTATGTAATATGCGTAGTAATGCAGTCATACATTTTTTAATGAGTATACAAAGTGGTGTAACTGGAATTTAAATTAGAAAAGGCCGATGAGCAAACAAAAAAAAATCCGAACATACATATGCATGGTTTTTGAGTAGTTTATTAGATTTATTGCTAAGTGAGATAGAAATCAAAACAACGAAAAACATATCAAAAGTTTATAAAACATTTGTATGTATATTTAGTGATTTTATGGTTTTAAGAGCATATTTGTTAATTTTACTATTTTTAGATGCAAATTTGATAATAACCATGATGAGAGTATTTAAAAATGCAGTAATAAATAAATATATGCGTTAACTTTGAAACTTTTCTCTGGGTATTATTGTATTGCGTTTTTTTAAATATGTATCTTATAGCTTCTATCAAAATACGACTATGTTCTTTAAAGTAATTATTTTAGGAAATAATTCAATGATTTCAATGGTTATAGTTGATTACATCTATCCAGGCTCGTCACTAGGGTACAAGTAAGCAATGCGTTACTTTAGGGAAGTATATAATTTTAAAGAAATTAAGAAGTGACAAAATGAAATTAATAATCGTCAAAAAAAAAAAAAAATAGTAGTCAAATATTCGCTTTAAGGCAGAATGTATTATACTATGAACCTGAATATACCTACCCGTAAATAAAAATATCAGTTCCGACCATAGTTATCTACTTAGGTTGGAGTATGGAGTGTTATAGCTGTAAAAGTGGCGTTTGTACGAACTATGAGAACTAAAAATCAATAACCTGAGTTTAACTTCAAATAGTTCGATTTGACATGCAATTTGTTCAACCTATAATTTACGTGTTTAACATTTTTTTGTGTCTATGTAATTATTTATGCGCAAAATATGAAAAACCATAATTTTCCTTATGATTTACATGTTCAAATCTAGCGCTCAGCTAGTACACACAAACGCCACTTCGACAGACGGATGGCGAAATTTTAAAATATGCCACGGTGCATTTAACATGTTAATTTCAATAAAAAATTTGATTTATGGTAAGGTAGATTCGTCTTGATTATTGGTAATTATTATCGTTTATTATGCCATATTATAACATGATTATTTAAATCGCATTTTGAGTAAAAAATGTTTGCATATACGCATTTTTAAAAAACCCTAAAGTGTATATATGCCGTATACCCACGTATACGCTCGATTATACTACTGATTATGCGTAATTTGTATTGTATTTAATAAATGATTCCGACCATACCGAACTATTTTACACTATAGTTGAAATAATACATTATTTATATAAATGTGTAGTAAGTTTTAATGTAGAGTTGTATAGTAATTAGGTAAAAGTATAATATTTGAAACCGATGAGCGTAGCGAGTAAACATTTTGTATATGAGTATATACTTGTAAATACCTTAGTTACGGTCTGTAGTCAGGAATTTAGCCCCCCTCAAATCTCAAATGCTATTTACGCCTATGCCTATATAAGTATTTGTATTTTGCATCTATATGATTTATTATTATGTATTTAGTTGACCAAAAGAAATTGGATCCAATCGATTTTTTTATGGCATTCTATAGTAAGTTTCAAAACTGTATGAGCTTAGATAATTGTCGCGTGTGTTATTATTTGTTTTACATTAGCAAAATAAAGTAATAACTTTATAAAAATGTATTACTCGATTACTCAAATTTACTTTACGCATGATTTTGAATAGATGCAGATTCGTTCCGTAAGTGTACATTTATTGTTTTTCTTTTTACTATTATTTGTATTATTTATAATACTTGAAAATAATAATAGTGAGCTTTGTAATACTAATATTTAATTCAATATTTTTTATACATTGGAAAATTCAATCGGAATTACTAAATTAAAAAAACAAAAATTTAAATTTTATGTTACTTACCTTCTTATACGGCTGTTTTAGTCTTATAGGTAAGTATAGGCATGATAAATAAGTCTAAAACCTATTATAATAATAGGCTTACGACCTATTCAATAATTTTACCTATATAACCAATATAATAAAATGTATGTTTTACTATCTAAATAGAAGACTAAATATTGTAATTGTCTGGAACAGTTATAATAATAATACTTATATTTGTTTTTATTTCAGGCATACCACGAGTAAGAGATGCATCACAATCACAATATGAGCATTACGTTACAAATTTTACGACCCATATAACTGGATTTTTACGTAAGATAGCTATTTCTTTTATAGTATAGCACTATAGCTTATGCCTATGGTTTATATAATAGATAGGTAATATTATATTTTATTGTACAAAAATTAAATAATGAGGTTAAAAGTATATAATATATATTACCTATATCACTATATAGTAGCGTAGCCAGGGGGTTGAGTGTTGTAACCCCCCTTCCCCATTAATTTTTTTTTAGCTATAATTAAATAAGGTTAAGAAAATCGTAGAAAACATTCTTTGTATCGTGGCTGCCGCCTGCCGCGTGCCGTGCATCACGAGTCACGGTTAATTGTAAAACATGATAGCCATGATTCCTTATCTATTAAATAGTCGTTATCATTCGTTGCATAACTTAACGGCATCACATTGCACTATCGATATTCGAGTAGCACGTGCATATTTTTCTTCATCAATCCGTAACTTTTAATGGTTATGGGTTTTAATATTGTTATGTTCATCAATATACATATACCTAATGTGACATAATGCAAATTGATGACATTACTATATCGGACACTTTCATTGAATGTTTTATATCTACTTAAAATAAAAACAAATGTTAGCATACCAAAGGTACCTATTTACATATTTTAGATCTTTACAATTAAAACAATATTTTAGGTTATCGATGTTTGTTTGATAGTAAAAATTCATCAGACAATATAGATTTTTAATATCTAGTTACTCTTTATCTACCTTATATTGATATTACAACAGCTATCCCTATCTGTTAGCTACAAATTTGAAAACAAAACTCAAATGTAAGTCACTAACGATGATATAATGATACCATCATATACATTACATCCTATCAAGCATTGTGTTTTAGTAATATTTTCAAATATGTTTGTTTTATTAAAAATATACTTAAAAAGACGTCTTAGGTTAATAGGGACGGGTACAGTCACTATTAAAGCTAATTTAATGTATACCTACAAGCAACGATAAATCATTACCAACGAAAAAACGATTCTAAGTGGAGTTCAGTTGATAGTGATGCTTTTCAATAATATATATATATGTCATATTATGGTAAAATAATTAAATGGGATTATATATTTTCTTTAATAATATTTGTTTAATGGACAATTTTTCCGTTTTTCCTACGTTTTTCCCGGCTGTTCACATTTGCTGGGAAAAATCCTTGGAAAATCAAAAAATGACCTTCTTAAAATATCTTTCCACACCAATTTCCTTTCAGAAAAGGTGCTTCACTTAAAAGTCAGAGTAAGATCTCTGGTAGAAAAGTTGTCCACAGAAAAAAAAATAAACATCTTTGTAAAACCACAAACTTCTTTGCTCCATTCAGAATCTAAAATTGTGTTTATACTTTCCATCTCAATCAAAAAATCAAAGATAATTTCCTAAAGAGTCTAGAACTATTCCAAAAATAATATGAAAGAGGTAGATTATAATTATTTTTGGTGCATTTTATTTTTTTGGACTCTGTCAAACAGAATTATCTATATGGATTAGTATTTCAAAGACTCTAATTTATTATCAGAATATTAAAATCACATCAGAAGGAACTAAACGAAATTGTCAAAAATCAGAGAAAATAGATTTTTTTTAAATAATACATTATATTAAATATTTATGTATAAATTGTGGATAAGGTAATCTTCTATAATACATATTTTCGTATGACAGTTGGTAATGTTAAACAAAAATAATCCCTCATAAAAATAACAATGTTGAATATTATGTCATGAACAATGATAGAATATATATATATAAGTTTATTAATTTTTTTTAGTATTTAATTACAACCAAATTGGAATAAAATTACTCGACGTAATTAAAATATTGCCAACAGATGACGGTAAGTTACTTTTTAAACTGTAACACATTAATATCAATGACGTAAACATGATTTCTTAGAGAGGGGAGAGGGCATATAAAATATTTCTACGCTTCTTATACAGAATAAATTATTCATGGATAAACTCTAGGGTAACTTAATTAATAAGTACGTATTGATAATATATCATTACTAACTTAAAACAATTCTGAGCGAAGTTCGGTTAAACCATGTTTTGATGTATGCTTAATAAACTTAAAATTCTATTGATTTGTACCTATAACTACAAAATAAAGTACAACTATCTTTGTTTGTTGGTCCAAAATTAATATTACTCGTAACATATATTTGTATAATATATGAATATAATGAATATATACATGTATAATACAAATTTAAATCCAATATTTCGAGAGCTGAACAATTCAAAATTGAAATTGTGACCACGAATCATACTTACATAAATCATTCACGTGTAATTTATTTAAATCAATAATTATTTAGATCGAAGTTTACGTACACATTACAGTGAATTTCATAAGTTCAAGACAAGGAAAGAATTTAGCGGTGAGTAAAATTGTAATAAACCATAAGTAAGGTTTTTTTAAAAATATATTGTATACATTCCTTATATTAAAAGAAGAAAAACACATATAAACAGCAGAGTTAGTTACGAGTTAAATGTTCGCCTAGTACGATGTTTATTAGAATTTAAAATTTTTTGAAATTGGATTTTATTATGTTTTAATATCTTTAATAATAATTTTTTATTACCAAAAAAAAAAGCTGATACTGGGGATGGGAGCAGCCACTGTTGAAAGTGAGAAGTTGGGAAGGTAGGATACTTAATAAAACCAATAGCCACTCGTTACGCTCGGAATCTAAAAATAGCCGATATTGTTGATAGCTACCATTATTATAGGTTAAAAGTTTTGAAGGATACCTTAAATCATATAAATCATCGCTTAAGTATTCTGTGCAAAGTTCCATTATACTTGTTTTGTAATGCCGTAATTTTTACGATTTTTGTCAGTAATTTGTATGTGAAAAAATATTGCATTGCATTTTACTTTTAGATTCAGAGCATAATGTCCCTCATTATTTTGTTATTAGTTTTACTACGACGTGTATTTTTTAAATTTTTTGTGTGTCTGTAAAAAATTCTTCTACCAGAAATGTTGTTTCAATGTTAATATATTTAGTGTAGTATCTTTTCTGAAAGGAAATTTTGTCTATTTAGTGCTCTAAAGAGGCCTTTTTTTGAAGAGGTTTTCCTAATAATTACGAGAAACCAAGAAAAAAATCTAGGAAACAAGGTAAAGTGTACAACATAAGGGTTTTTCTTGTTATTCGGTTAAAAATTATTGTAGAGACATTAGTGGTCTATAGATTATATTGGCCTTTTGTAGGCGTGGGAAAATATCCAAATCATTGTAACTAATTTTATACTATTTATAAGTATTCGATATTTTAATGTTTCATATGTATTTTTATTTAGTAGGTTTCTGTTATTAAAATTATATTATTTAAGACAAAGGCTTGAAAATTTAACACAAGGTATATTATAAATTCAAAAACGTCGAAAATAGTCGGTTCCTGCAAATATTACATATTTGACAGAAATGATAAAATCAGCCTGGTCGAAAAACCATTGACCATCTCTATCTGGTATCGTCGATAAGAATTTATAAAAATAATTCGATAATTCGATAATATTTTACACAGCCATTTATGGTAGATATAATATCTAAATGTAATGAATTTCAGAGATAGAATTCAGATTTGTGGAACTTATAATTTTAAAGAATATCCTCAGTAAGTCATTAAAATGTATGTTAATTAGTAATAAATGGAATATTATTTTCTTCATTATTTATCTAATCGTGTAATTGCATGCCAAGGTCACGTAATTACCTAATGTAAATAATAACGAATACATTTGTAACGATACAAGTAATACTATTAGGTAATATTATAGGTACAGTTGTGTATAATCGTAAACTGAAAAATAGGAATCCGCCTTTAATGTATTTTCATTTAGGGCTCTAACACTATAATGTGTTTTACTTCCTGTTTGGCGATTTTCTGCAATTATACCTACATATTATAAATCCACATTTTTATTAAACCATAATATATGTAAAACTTTTTCTTTATATGTATTCAATTTTTGTATGAAGTTGTTTTTTTTATCTAAAAATTGTGACCTAATTGGTCTATTCAAATTTTTAATTATTACACAAATACTTAATAATAATAATAATTAGCTATTTTTCTATTGATAACTATAAAATCATATATTTTACAGACTTATTTGGCTTTTCAGTTACAGATTATGGTATGTAATATGAAATAAGTTGTTTTTTTGTGAAAATCTATATACGTGTTTTAAGTGAACTACAAGAGAAAAAAAAAAAAATCTAAAATAACAGAAATCGTTATTACGTACATTTTCTTGTTTTCTAGCGTACAAGTATTTTCTCAGTTTCTCCCAATTATTAACACATTATAAATAAAATCGCAAATTGATCACCTCAATACAACAACTGGATACAATTTGCTAGTAGATATTAATAAACTCCTTGCTATGCTCAGAATTTATCATATATTAATTTAATGTAGACGTCGTGTATCAAACTTGAACAAAACAAACTTCGCGTAAAATATATTTTGAAATAATTCCCTAAATAAGATATTATACTCAATATTAACGAATGTTAAAAATTAGTTTAAATGTATAATTTGTTTCAGACAGAGAGCTGAAATCGGAATTGAAAAATCAAAAGGATTCTAAGAGTATGAATGAAGAATAAATAAATAAATTTAGTGAAACAGAATATTCGAATTCCAGTGTTTGGAAAGTTTCTTTTAAAAATGAATTCGTTCCCGTTCCTCGTTCATACTGTAAAAATGAATTCGTTCCCTTTTCTTGTTCTTACTGTAAACCGTTCCTTGTTCCTTTAAGCATTCCTTTTATTATCTTTTATGAATATGCATATTACATATTCATAAAAAAAAGGATAACGGGAAGTTAAGAAGGTAGAAAAACTCAAATTGGAAACTATACTTACTTTTTAAAATTTACATGTTTAAAATCCTAATAAATAAAACAAAATACATTTCCTAGTTCCTATCCAAAAATTAAAAATTGAAAAACATATTACTTGAAAAAAAAATTCAACATCAATTTATTCAAAATTCAAAATATAATATTTTATTAACCATTAAAAAAAAAAAAATTAATACACTGACAATCAATGATATCAATTATTATTTGTAAATTTGACGTCTGTCATTATCAAATAAATTATATTTTTTGTTACCATTTAAAAAAATTATCACCGAGATGCTGTGTATATCACGGATATATATATATATAACTAAATTAGTAACTGACGACTGATACTAACACTATACAATTTTTAAAGAATATCATCACTAAATTAACGCGCGTTCCATTATTTTTTTCTAATAGAAGAAATGAAAACTTCCCTTCATGTTTCACATAAATAGGAATTCTTTCTCGGTCATCGTTCGTATATTTGAAAAAGAACGCGTTCCAAGCTTCGTTTCTATGAAAGGAATGCGTTCCTTCCCAACACTGTCGAATTCAGAAAAAAAAAAAATGTGTTACAACACAATACAGTATATTATTATTCGAATAGGTGACCAAAAATATAATTATTGAAACAAAAATATATCACATTATATGAATTTCAGAAACAATCAAAACTGTTAAGGAATTCTATTTGGAGCTAAGTAAATAGTTTTAATTTAATAATTAATAACTAATAGTAAAATATTATTTTATCAAGTAAAAAAACATTGTGAATCATTTAAAATCAAGTTAGAAATAACCTAATAAGCTAATACCAAAAAAAAAAAAATAAAAATCAATAAGTTTTATCTTTAGGCATTTTAATGCTTTTTGTTTACAAATTATTTTATAACTGCGTGAAAAACACTCTAAAAGAAGTTGCAATGAATAATTTTTCATATATGTACAACTTGGAAAATAAAATTTAGTACGATTTTCCAATGTGTACCTATTGTAAAAGTACAACAGCGTAATATTTTCATAATGGGTGCCTAAAACATTATGGATTAGTTACATTAGTGTTAAAAATTGTTAGTACACTTATAACTAATAAAAAAAATTATACGCACTAATGTTAAAAATACATAGTAAATTTTGTTTTTTTTTTCATTTTTAGAACTTGAATATAAAATTGAAATGTCAACCAAATTTATAGGTAAATTTGTTTTAACTTAAAATTTACATTCATCATAAAAATTAGTTAAAGGTATAAAGTGTAATTATTACTCTTAAATACTAATATTAACTAGCATTAACTATCGATAATTAACTAGCAATTATATTTTATTATTACGTACAAATATGAATTTAATTTCTCAATAAATATATTATCTTACTAAATGTATAAAAAAAAATTGAAAACTGATCATTATTTTGGTGAAAATAGGTATCGCGACAAAAAAACAATTCGAGGATATAGGGAGGTGTAAGTTTATTATACAGTTACAACTTAACCAACAATTTTGAACAATTGTAGGATGATAGTGCTCAAATTGACAAAAAATGTCAATTGTTTTAGTTTAGAAACCATCGTTCCGTCTACTATATAAAAATGAAACTTTATTAGTTCGTCCATGATCTATAGACTCAAAAACTAATAAATCAACTGGCACAAATCCTTTGAGACTCGAGAAAGGTTTTTACCTTCATTTTTCAACCATTGAAGGTTACTAAAGGATAACTCACACACGAATTAATGAATACTTATGAAATATAAACTATTTTACATAAAATGTGATATTGAGTGTTCTTGGTAACGGAAAATCTCAAAAACCACTGGACCATTTAATATTGGGCACGGGCAAAACTGAGTGGGAAAGTTGAATAGTTTGACAACTCAGGAATCAGGGCTCAGCTAGTAAATATGGACAAAAAATAATGTTTTTTATATATTTATGGGCAATAAAGGTTAATTGCAATAATAGTGATTGGTTGGAAACGGGAACTATGGGAAAACACGTTTTTATTTTGTTTATATTTTTTTTGTTCAATACTGACCCGGAAAAAGATACGTACATGTTTTCTAGAAGATGAATGTTACCACAACCTACAGGTTATTAATTAAATAATTTATTGACAAAAAAAAAAAAGTTAAGAACTTACACTGAGACACCTTGTAATTAACATCACTATACGAGTATTAACACCTATTAACCAATTATTCACCTATTAAAGAGAAAAAATACTTCCTGTAATACTTCTTCTCATTTTCCTTCATCCTAACAATACGAATAAAAGTTACATGAACTGTTTTTTAATATTTTGAAAAATGTTTCCCCGATCAACTGGCCAGATTTAAACTAAATTTCGGATAACTGCAGTTATAATTGTGATGTGAACATTAATACAGTCGTTTACTCCAAAATCTTTCCTAGCATTTATGGGTTGATTAAAATAAATGGTAGGTTACAATTTATGAAAATATGAAAGTGGACATCATCCCTCCTCTAATTCAAGCACTAAAGTTATGATTTGAATAATTGTGTGTATTTTAAATTTTATATTATGTATATTACTTAGGCCTGCGTGAAAGTGATTCATAATACTCGATTATCGATTATTTCAAATAGACAAGCAGAAAATTGCATATGCGCGTTGTCAAAAAACCCAGAAGTGTATACATGCCGTATACCCATGTATACGTATGACTGTGATATACCTGATGATGAATTTTTAATTCAAAACCGGTCATATTATAATACACTTTTCATTATACTCTAAGCAACGCATTCATTAATTCATTTATTTTTTATTTCTATATATATTTTTTAGACTCAGAGTGGAACGAGGAATATATTGGTTTTACAATAATATTTATTTTTTTTTTTGTGAACGTTTTTTTTTACCAGAAACCATACTCCGAATATCGAGTATAGCACCTTTTCTGAAAGTAAATTTTCTCTGGGTGGATCTTTAAAAAAATCATTTTTTGAAATTCTCATTATTATTCGAAATAATGAAGAAAACATCGGTCTTTAGGTTAAAAAAATTGAAAGATTAAAAATAAGGTTGTCATTGGTAATAGTTTTTATTTATATTTTGTTATTATAAAGATTTATATTTTTTTTATCTATTTCAAACAATCATTGTTGTCATGGAAACGCATATTGTTTTAATCATTTTACCATAATATAATATACTACCATAATATATTGCATTATTGACAAAGTAAAATTATCAACTGAACTCGGCCCAGAATCGTTTCTTACAGATATAAATTTAATTTCTGCCTATACCCTACCTTCCCAACTTCCCACCTACAATAGTTGCTGCACCCACGTGCGAAGTATGTCCGTCCTTTTTTATTTATATATTGATTAACTATATTTAAAATATTACATTAAAATGAAGCTGGGATAATGGTAATGGACCGAACTAAAAAGTATTATTGTAATAAGAGTATTATCAATATAATCTAGTATCTATGGTATTTATTTATCGACTATTCGATGTTTTATTTTGAGTTTTAAATATCAAAATTAACAGTACTATCAATTAGTCACGCAGGCCTAATAGGTAACCATAATAATATATTAATAATATGGTTACTTTAATAATTATTATTTATTTGAAACATGTTATATTATCTATAGTAATGCAATGTAAGTACAATATTTTATTTGATTAATGTAGCTTATATATTTGTTTTAATCATAATATTTTATGAATTAGTTTATAGTAGACAATATAAGATAACTGATATAGTTTTCCTAACTATAAGTATTACTTCCTATAAGGAACATAAAAACATAACCTCCCCAGTACAGCAACGAGACACGATTTTTTAACAGAAGCGACCCTTGAAGTTGATGTTCAGAGAAAGATTTTTAGTAGGTAGACAATTTTTTAACAAAATTTTTTTTTCGTTTTTAGAACATTTTAAAAACAAGTAGTTATAAAATATTATATTTATGTTATTTTGTTTTTATTTTAGAAGGTGGAATCACTACCAACTTTGATTTTCACATAGTTACCTATACCAGGTGATTCATTTAAGCGGGTACACTCATTATCTCGGAAAATATTAACTTTTTCCGGAATTTGTTTTCTAGAACATTTAAAAAACAAGCTGCTTTATAATTTTTTTATCGTCACGTGGGTAAAACCACTACCTACTTTGATTTTAAAATGTCAACCTATGTTAAAAAGTCCTTAAATAGATGGAGTATTAATTGTTTCAATCAATTTTAATGTTGAAATTTTTGATTTCCGTCGATCTATTGATGAGATATTCCACTTTTAAGTTTGGGATGGAAGAGAGTCGTGGAGTATCATTTGTGTGGCGGTACGGCACGCGGCATATTAATAATGCACAATTACTTTCTTTCAATCTAAACTTAGAAGTGGAATATCTCGTCAACGGCTTCACAGAAATCAATTGAAAAAATATCAACTCTTGAATTTATTTTAACTAATACTTTATCTATTTATGGATATTTTAATGTAGTTTGCCGTTTGAAATTCAAAAGTAGGTAATAGTGGGTTTTACCTCCAAAAATAAGAGTGACAAAAAATAACATAAATATAAAATTGTGATTTTGTGAATTGTAGATCAGTTTGTTTCTTTAATGTTCTAGAAAACAAATTTCGTAAAAAGTTAATACTTTCCGAGATAACAAGTTTACTCACTTAAATGGATCCCCGGTATTAAAAATTCTATATATAGATAGATTTATTGGTTTAAATACATTTTGGGGTTAACTTTTTTTCTTTCAATCAACTCATTGATGAGATATTACACTTTTAAGCATGCCGTTCTATTAATGGAAAGAGAGAGGTGAAATATCATTTTTGTGGTGGCACATTTCTCGGTGTTTGAATAGTGGTCCACTACTCTACCACTATCAACAAAATGGTAAACGTAAAAATTAAATATCTCATAAATGTGTTGACAGAAATTTAAAATGTCAACATTAAAATATATTCAAACCAAAATTCCATTTATTTACGAAATTATACAGGGTGTCCCACGAGGATTCGACAAATGCAATAACTTTTGTTCTATTCAATATTTTTGATATATATATACATATTTAAATAATTAGTATGCCTTTGCGTCACAGTTTATGTATACAATTTTTTTTTTTTAGTAGGAGGTTGACTTAAAATAAAAAATAGCAAATTTGTAAAATAGATTTTTAGAAAGATTTTTGGTGTTTGAAACTTTTATTAAATTATGGTCTTTTATTTTCTACGATTTTATGAAAATTTAAATAACTTTCTTTTCAATTATAACAATATTATTTATCAACATAAATTACCAATTATTGATTGATTGATACCATCTAATACTTAGAATACAATAATATTATTGCATGATATTAACTCATGGAAAAGAAAATCTTAGTCATGTGCTCTGACTTATAACTAATTAAATATTGTAGTATTCACATTTGCGTAAATTTAAAAAAAATTGTTAAAAATAAATACCTACCACTTGTTTGAAACGGTAGCCGTTTGCGTTGAATAAAAAACAATTTTATTTATTTATTTTATCACTGTATTACTATAGTATCATTTTCCAGTAGCATTCATAATTAGCTATATTCAAAGCTATATCATAGCATATGCTATAGCATATTATATTTATTTACTCAATCTATAAAACCACTAAGATATTTTGTCTCCATAATAAAAAATGTTTTCACTCGATAAAAAAAAAAGCATAGGTCAAGTATCCTTAATTTTAATAAAAAAATAAGTGATATCCCAACAAAAATTCTCGGTCTACTACTAATAAAAACCTCACTAAGAAAAAAAAAACTCAAGTTAAAGAAGTTGTGATATCAAAACGAGGCTAAGTAATTACTTAAATTTATTAGTATAGAAATTATTTAAAATTGTTTGTATTTAGGCGGCTACTTGTAGTATGTACATTATAAAATGGGAATGTAAATATTCATAAAAGGCATTATATCTTTATTTGTAGTGGTAAATATTAGTAGCTACCAAGCTAAGTTAAATTATTTGTATTAAATTATCGAACTTCATCAAAAACAATTAATAATTATTATAAACAATTTTTATATTAATGAATTTAAGAAATTACTTAGCTCCTTTTTGATATCACAACTTTTTAAACTTGAGTTTTTCTTCTTAGTGAGGTTTTTACACGCTGTTGACTGAGAGTTTTTGTTGGGATGTAATGTAAATAAATAAAATAATAGTATATAATTTTAATAACAATATTTCAAATGTATTGAATTAATAATATTTTAGTATTATTATCATTACTAATTTGCTATCTGGGACCTAACTAGTACAATGTTGTATTTTATTCGGATAAATGGGAAATAAATTATAAGTTATCTGAGATAAAAACTTTAATAATTTAGATACATTTATCAATAGATAGATATTTAAAATGTTATTAATTAATATCGTTATAAGAAAAAAATACCTAAGTAATATATTTTATTTTCATTAATATGTTTTATAGATTAATTTTTAAGTTCGGCACATCAATGATACATTTTTTTTTTTTGAAACCAAATATGATCTTTTTCTGGCACATTTTAAGAACTAAAGTTTTTGGTGTAATCAACAAAATCATATTTTTTAAATTTAGATATAAATTTGCTGAATGTTTGTCTAGATATTTTAAAATATATCTTTATATTACACAGTTATTTACTAACAAAAATAACTTTTTTAAATGAAAACCAAATACTGATAATATATTATACTGAACTGAACAGATCTTATATTATATACTTGTAAAAATACTTTTAAAAATTATATTATTTATTATATATTACGAACAATTTTTTTATTTCTACCAATAACTAAACAAACTATATTATATTAAGTAGATACCTAATACATATTTTTATTTTTGACAGTACTCCCCAACCATGAGGAACTAAACGAAAAAATAGAGGATTATAACAATGCATTGTTTATATTAAGTAAGTACTTATATAATTAAATAATAATAAAACAAATTAATCGTAAAAAACCCACCAATCAAAATAGGTAATTATATTTATTTTTCGACATAAAGTCACGAATAAAGAAATAAAACTAGTTAAACCAGTTTAAGTTATAGAATTTGTCAATATATCGAGTATATGTCTTATCCGAAAGATGTTTAAAAACAACAAAATAATATTATCAATAATTATAATTGTACTAACCAGTTTGTTTTTCTATACTTACAGGAAAAACAATGTGTGGGTAAAAATAAGAACTTTTTTTAAACTGAATAATCGAAATTTTGCATTTGAATTATTACACATAACTGTAATATAGAAAATTAATCAATGCCTAATATTATAGGCGATATGGATCCAGTAACAAAAAACGAATGCAACCAAGTAGCAAACAGTAAGACACAATCATTTTGATTTCAAAATAAAATCTACTGCCTGTGTAAATTAAGTTTTGTTTTTAAATAATTATATATCCATATACACAAAACGCTAATAAAATACAATAGGAGGCTTGATGAAAATGTGCAATTATCATTTGTCATAAAGACCGGACCCTCGCAATATTCTTATTTATTTCATAAATTTTTTTATTTTTTTATTAAAAATATAATATTTATAAATAAACTTAATGACTATCATGACTGCTGCTAGCAGCTATTATAATAGATAAATCGGGTGACTTAAAATCATTAAAAAGGCAATTTTTCGAACGTTATAAGTTTTTAAGGGGCCGCAGCATAGTATAATGTTACAAAAAACGAAACATACCTGGTACGATGGATGCAGCCACTGTTCTTGGTAAAAAGTTGGGTATGTAAGATACAGGGGAGAAATTAATTTGTATCTGTAAGCAACCATTGCTCACTAAAAACGATTCTAAGCGGAATTCAGTTGAAAGTGATACTCAGTCAATAATATGGATGTCATATTATGGTAAAATAAGTAAATAGGCATTATATAATTTTTTTAAAAATTTATTGTTTAATATTGTCCCGATTTGTCCGTGTTTTCTTGAGAAAATCGAAAAATGACCTCTTTAAAACACGTTCCAAGTCCGATATTCTTCAGAAAAAAGTGCTACACTTAAAAATTTGAGCAAGATTTCTGGTAGAGAAATTTGCTCAACAAATTGAGGAGTATTTTCGATTTAAATAGTCTAAGCGAGCGATAGCTGAGTTTCTAGGTACATCTAAAATGTATTTGTTTATTCCCTGTTTAGGTAAGAGGGAAAAATAAATTGCAAAAAATGTTGACGAAACTTGCATTTGAACTCGCTATCCCTAGAATGACAATAGGTATCTATAACCATTGTACTACAATAAACATACTTTACAGAAAATAATACATATAGATTTATTTAACATAACATAAAATATTCGCATAATATCAGAACTTTAAAAATCTATAATTTCGAAACTTAGTAAGTCCGCTCAATTCAGACTTCACCATCATTATTAAATCAGAAATATATATATATATATATATGTTCAAAATAAAAAATTGAAAAATATGTTCCAGATAATTTTTCACTTAAAAGAATTTAATCAAAATGTAGTGTTAAAATTCCTTTATAAAAAAAAATATTCTACATTAAACTCAATTTTTTTTTTTTACCACAAAGTAAGACTTTTAATAAACCTCCTGTTAAATTTTCAAGCATTTCTGTAAAGTCTAACAATTTTACCACAGTGTAGATAACAAATAAAAATTACGTACAAAACTCGTAAAATTAAAATGTCTATAAATAACTAAAAAATAACTTCAAATCTTTTGAAAATTTTACCACGTCTAGAAAAAGTGAATTGAAGTTTTCAAATTTTTCTAAATTTTAAGTCTATAGAGTCTATACGAATATTTTTTACTAAATTTTAACAAAAATATTTATAGTTTTATAAAAAGCTTAAAAATTGGCTCAAATGTTTTGAAAATTTACCATTTCTAGAAAAGTCAAATATAATTTTTCTGTTCAAATGTCGATTCTTCACGAATATTTCTAACTGAATTATAAAAAATAGTAAAATTTAAAAAATAATAAAGCATTATTTTTGTAAATTTACTGTTTTTATGTTTTTTTTTTTTTCATTTTTTCCCTTTTATTGAGAAAACTGCCAGGAAAATCAGAAAATAAATTATTCACCAAGAAAATATATTTGCAGAAAAAGACCTACATAGTATATATTGGAGTATGATTTCTGGTAAAATGTATGTACACAGTATAAATAAATAATAATAACGACCAAACGTTCATATATAGAACGTTATGAAATTTAAAGAAAGCACTTTTTGAGGATCCGGTTCTGTTTCAGGCTGTACATGTTTGTAATATTGTAACATAATATAATATAATGCAATATTTTTGTTTTTTATAAATACCTAACCTATATAATATAGCAAGTTAAAATCGATGACATAATTTACAAAAATATAAAAATGAGCCACATAGTATTCGTCCGTTTTTCCGATAATGTTGATATTTGTATGGGAAATCGAGAAAACACAATTCTATTTACCTTTACGTAATAATGTAATATCATGAATCACGTATATTTTACTTCAAAACTTATGTTTAATTGTCAATAAATATGTTTAGATATTATGTCCGAAGAACGAATGCGATGTATTCAATCAGGTACGTAACTATTTTACTATAATAATATGTGAACAAAATAACATTTGTAATTTGGTAATTATAGGCACTTTATAATACTCAAATGTATTAACTTGGTGATGACTACTGTGACCACATATATTATTATAGATTTTACAGCCATACTTTCTTGGTTATATAGGACATTTTTTCCGATTTAGTGATTTCATTATTTTCTATTTTGTTTTTTCATTGTTATTCAGTTAAAAATAATCATTAAAATCTTTTCACAAAATGCGTATATTAGTTTTTAAGTAAAATTGTCAAAACATTATGCCAATTTTTTTAGTTATTTATAAGCAATTGACATATTCTAGTTTTTCGTTTTAGTTTTTATTTGATAGATAAAATTCTTTGACTCAATATAAATGCTTAAAAACTTAACAGGGTTTTCATTATAAATTCATAAGTTAAAAAAAAGTAATGTATTGTACCTAATAGGTTTTTTTTATAAGTGTTTTAAGATCAAATTTCGACAAAAATCGTAAACATTACATCATATCGAAACATGTAAAACCAAACTTCAATCAAAATTGTTTCGCATTACTAGTATGTAGGTGTAGAGAAAGTAAGGTAATAATTACGAAGCAGTAAATAAATTTCTTCTAAAATGTCCACTAACTCTTCGTAAAGTTTTGTTTATTGATCCTCTGGCAACCAATCATCATTCAACTAAATGTAAATTTCCGAACACTGGCATAGCCGATATAGAACTGATATATTTAAATATTAAATAATATCGCACAATGCTGAGTAGACATAATAACAGTTATTTGTAGTGACAACGTTATTATAACACATAGACATTTTGGACAACCGATACACATAAATAAAACAGTTAGTAATAATTTTATCATTGCGTAACGATATAAATTAAATAACTTCATGTATATTATTTTACAACTTCTCACTTATAATAATGACTCATCCGTCCCTAGTAAGAGCTCTTTTTTAAAATTCTCTATTAGATTCTGAGTGAATTGAGAGATCTGTTGGTTTTTTTTATAGTATGTGCTTTTTTTAAAAAATTTTTTTTCCTGTCTATATACAACTTTTCGAGAAAAAAATCTAGCGTAGTATGCCTTTACTGAAAATAAATTTTGTCTAGTTGATCCATTAAACAGATCAATTTTTGATTTTCAAAAGATTTTTCGAAATAGTTTGGAAAAACTTGAAAGAAAATTAAAGGTAAGACGGCAAATATTTATGGCATGCCACAGCGTTACCGATTGTATTAATTTATTTGTATATTTTCTAACAGAAATAATGCTCGATAATCGAAAGATTCCAGATTATCGATTTTGTTCCCATTAACATATATCCAATATTCATTGATAAAAAAAGTCATTTTTTAATATCTTAGGTGTTTTCATGATAATTGTAAAAAACCAAACCAGACGAAAAATATGATTTTTTTTTCAAATTACGGTTGCAACGATTTCATTATTTAAAATTTTACGGCTTATGTTTTCTGCTATAAATATTGTTCCAATAGATAAATAACTTGAGACCTTTTTTGTTGCATTTTTTTTTTAGTTTGTGAATAAAAAAATTGTTTCTCGATTTTCTGGGTAGTTTTAATAATAATTAGAAAAATCCGGAAAAAACATAAAACGAAAAATGACAAATTTATGGCAGTAACATTTCATTATTTTTAATTTTTATGCATTCCGTTTTCTACTAGAAATTTTGTTTAAAAACAAGAGATACTTTTTGATTAATTTTTAATCTGTTTGGTAACACAAAAAGTCTTTTTTTTATTTTTGTTATTATTTGAGCAAAATCGAAAAATACGTAGAAAGAACAGAAAAAATTACGAAAATACTGCTTTTAAAATTTAAAATTTTGTTTTTGTAATGTTATTCAAATAAAGTTATTTATAGAAACTTAAAATTTGTACAGGAAACTTATACTTGACTTTTTTAGACGTAGTAAAATTTTTAAATTAGTTTAGCAATTGTTGAGCTATTTAAAAACATTTTAATTTTGCGAGTTTTGTGGGTAATGTTTATTTTTGAGGTATTCTGTAAAAAAATTGTTAGACTTAAAAGAAATGCTTGAAAATTTGATGGACAGTTCATTGTAAATCGTACTTAGTGGTTAAAAATAATTATGTGCAATGGAGGTAGTATATTTTTTTTTTTAAGAGTTTTAAAATCAAATTTCGACAAAAATCATAAATATAACAGCCCGCGGTCTTTTAAGATATGTATAACTTTGCTCTAAATCATATTTTATGAACAATGGTATATCATTGGTTACAGGTATAGTAATAACTTTATGTATCTTATCTTTCCAACATCTCGCCTATAACAGTGGTCACATGCGTCCCAATTTTTTTTTTTTTTTACTTAAATCGTTTATTATTCAAAACCGATTATTAATCATTATTATTAAAATCAAATGTAGTGTGATAATATTTTTCTTGATTTTTTAGAATTCATATTAAAAGGAGAAAGCTATTTTCACTACTTGCTAAGAATGACATTCTATGGTAATTAATGTCATAATACATATTATTATTATAATAACGGTGACTACATATTGTTGGTAATTAAATTTGTGTGATATATACGCTTCTAAAAATTATTGAAATTTACTTTTAGCCTCACGTATACATTACCCCTTGAGATTTGCTCAAAGAGAATTTGGAGAGTTTCTTGGTAAATATTTTGAATTATCTTGAAAATTAATATTATATTAGACTGCATAATACATAATTAATAAAATATTATACTATTAAAACGTAATTTAAATAATTTAAAAAATGTTAACTTTTTGGTTAGAATTAATGTTTATCTAATCGTTTCTAAATATATATATATATATTTGTTATGTTATATATTGTTAATATTTGTAATTAATTTTTCAATTCAACACTAGTTTTCAATATTTAAAAATTTTAATGATTTTTGGTAAACAATACGTAATTATTGTTTCGGATGGTTAATAAACAACGATACTTATATTATATGTTATCTAAAAGTGTGTAGGTAATACTGTATTTTAAATTCATAATATTAAACTTTCAGGTGATTTGGGAGAGGATAGTATTGCACATTTAGAAGCTATAAAGATAAAACAACCATTAAATCTAATAAATGAAAATCAGTAAACTAAAACATTCCAAGCAACTGAAGAAAAAATAACAAAGAAATATGCCGAAATTAAAGATTAAAATGCCCTGACGGTAATAAGATAACTGATTTGTTTTAGTGATGATTAATTTTAATATATATTGAATTCGTCATTAATTATGTTCTGACCATAGTAAGAAATGCTTTACCACATTAGTTTTACTAATATGTGTTCTTTTTGTGTATGTGTGTGTGAACAATTTTTCAAATATGAAATTTGCTTCGTTGTAATCAAGTATAGCACCTTTTATAAAAGGTTATTTTATCTGATTACTGCATTGAGGTGGTCATTTTTTGATATCTAAAGAGTATTTCATAATAATTCGGAAAAGCCAAAAAAGACGAAAATATGATTTTTTCAAATTACCGCACAACGGTTTTATTATTTTAAATTTGTATAGTTTATGTTTTCCACAAAAGAATATTTCTCTAAAAGAAAAACAACAAGAGACCTTGATAAATTTTCATTAGGTAAAGTACAAGCATGCTGATATATATAATCATACATAAGAAGTTATAAGTGATGTTTTTGAAGAGTCCTGATTGTTAAATATCCTGAAATCTTATTAAAATATTAAATTGTCATATTGCTCTTGTCTTTTTACACTAGTTTTTTAAAAAGTTAAAAATGTTGAATTCATTGAACTTTTAAATTGGTGTAATACGTTATTATTCAATTTTACTGAAAAATATTTAAATATCTGTATTTAATTACTTTTACTCAGATACTTCACAAGTTTAAATCCAAACTTTCATAATGTATTATATAATATTCTAAAAAAGGTAATGGAGGTCGTTAAAACTGATTTTTTTTTTAAACTGCTGTCTTAAATTAAATTTTTTCCTCTATTTTTAAAAATCATAAATTAAATTTTTATATTTACATATATTTATAACATACATATATTATTATATTTATAAATATTTTATATTTTTATTAATTACAGGAAATACGTAACAGTTAAATTCATTCAAGAATACCATATAAAAAATTAACAAGCCTAATGTATAAATAATATTGATAATTGTATGGAAACTAAATAATTATTTTAATATAGAAGTATGTATAGTGAAAAAAATATATTATATAGAATTATTGACTTGTATTTTTATTAGATTACAGATTTCAAATATACCTATTATTGATATTTAAAATACTTATTTTATTGTGTTATGAAATCATTTTTAATAGCGCTGTGAATCATTTTTCTCTAATACATGAAACTTTCAAGATGAAAGATACTTAATAATATTAGAGTTTTTTTTTTTTAAATTAATATTCCTTAATATACAGTATCGAGATTTAGACGTACAGAAATATACCAATGAAAAGCAAAATAGTTATTAAACATTACGCGTAGATGGCTCTAACAGTACATACCGTTTGATAATTTTCCTGCAGCGTTAAAAACTGGACCCAAACTACAACATTTAAAAATAACATAATTATTAATATTATTTATCAATTAATTAATTAAATTAATTATATAGTAATATTAAATTTATTTTATATAATTTCTAATACGCTTTCAGACATGGCTCATCATTATCGTACACATTTTGATAATAATTGTTAAACAAATTTTTCTCAATTATTTATAATATAATAATAAGAATATTTTATTGGCCATCTGTGAGTACATTTACATATAATTACAATAAAATGATATATAGTATAATGGCCCAACTCACCACTGAGGATAACCTCATATTGATGAAATTGGTGTACTAATAATACAATTGATAAATAATTAAGTTAATATGAACATAGATATAAAATTAAAAATAAAATATAAAAATAAGAAAATAATTTTAGATAAAATAATATTATAGGTTAAGTAAGGAACAAAACAATTTAGCTAGGTTCACATCATGTACAAGTGTTCTTATATGTTAGGAATACGGTTTAGCCACAATTAAACACACTTCGTGTATTGTGTGTATGATTTACAATTTATGATATGAAAGGGGGCTTTATTTAATAGTTTAATAACTATTTGTGAAAAACATAGACTTGATTTGAGGGTTCGGATAATAGGGATCTTTAAATTATTTACCTGCCGTGTATTGTAGTATGGTGATTTTAATTTAATTAAGTCAATTTATATGTAAAATAAAGTGTATTGAAATAATTTTTGTATAGAGAAAATATTAAACTCCTCGATTAATTGTATAGAAAAAATATTTTTTAGGTTTGTTTAATATTAATTTTATTATACATTTTTGAACTCTCAGTATCATTTTGCTTACAACAGTACCCTTGCGGTTATACCATATTGGAGAATTGACGAGGTTATAGCAAAATAGATCATGCGTAGTATTTGTATGTTTAGTATTTTTCTTGCAATGGTATAAAGGTAGTGTATTTTCATAATTTAATGATTATAATACGTATGTGTATGTCCCATTGTAAATGTTGATCAATAATTATTCCTAGATGTTTCGTATATTCAGTTTTAACATTGCATGAACAATTATTTATTTTACAATCTAAGTGATGAATTTTGATTTTATTAAAAGTTGGTTGAGTTCGTTAATCTCGTGTAAAAACTATAAAGTTTGATTTAATTTAATTTATTCGAAGATTATGTTTTAAAAACCATGTATTTATTAAGCGCATATCTGTTTCGGGCTTATAATGAACTTCTTCCCAATTGGTACCAGTTATAAGGATTGCCGTATTGTCTGCACAAGAAAAAAGTTTTCCATATAGGTTTAGATTTCCTAAAGAATCTACGTATATTAAATATAGCAGGGCCTAAAATACTGTATCATCTGACACACTTTGTGTCCCCTGAATGATAAATGTGTGCCCCAAGTTTTATAACATGTTTTTAGTTTTAATTGTAGAAATAACAAAACAGTTTGGAATTTCAGTACAAATTAATCATGGTTATATATATATATATAAATTGATAACAAATTCCTCGTTATCAATATTATACAAATATACCATAAACTTTAACCATGGTAAATGATTATAAATACTATATAACCAAGATCTATATTTAATCGTGAATACAACGAATATATAATAAAATAAAGTAAAAACAAAATTATTAAAACGAATATACCTTGTGTTTATAAATATGCTATGTACTATGTAGCTAATCTCGAATTTGCGACAACAGCTTATTATAGTTATTATTTATCTTCCGATGTGTTCATATAACTTTTAGTAAAATATTTTGGATATTGCCTTATATTTATTTTGTATATATTTAATCCAAATGTCATATAAATAATATAAATGTGTAAGGTAAGCGGTATAAAAAAGGGGGGATGATTTTAAGTGTTATAACCCCCATGGGTTGTTTTTGCTATGGAAACCTATCAAAAGTTACAATTGAACTAAGAAGTGTGTCCCCTGAGATCAGATGTATTTTATGCCTTGAAATATAGAATGAGTGATAAAACTATTCCTCGGGGAACTCCAGTGGTAATGATAATTTCATCATTTAGTGTGTTTGATATTCTCACTTGTTGTTTCCTATTAGTTAAGTATGATTCTCGGAGAAGAAGTGGACTATTAACTATCCCAATAGATTTTAAAACGGTTATTAATGTTTTATGAGAAATACTGTCAAATGCTTTGCTAAGATCTAAAAAAATACTTAGTGTTTTTTTTTTTTTTTTTTATTTAAGTTTGAGTAAATATCTAAAGGCGTGTGAGAGCGTCTTCAATTCCAAGTTTTTCTCTAAATCCAAACTGGGATTTCGGAAGTATTGCATTTTCTTCTAAATAAGGTAAAAGTTTTGTTTTGATAGCCCTTTCGAAAATTTTGGAAAAAATATCTGATAAACTAATAGGTCTAAAATTTGTAGTGGTTTTATTATCTCTCCTTTTAATTGGTGATATAATGGCACATTTAAATTAATTTGGTATATTACGCTTCTGAATAATTTTATTGAAAATATGTTCTGGAATATTAGATAATGTTTCTATATTTTGTTTTATCACATTAATTGATATCCCATCTTACCCAGAAGCTGAATCACTTTTCATGCCAGAAATTATAATGCATACTTCTGACGCAGATATTTGTCGTAAATAGGTAGATTGATTGGCATGTGAATTTGACGTAAAACTTAATTTTCGATCTTGGTTTTCAATATTATCTGTGTGAATACCCATTGTTGAAAATTATTCGTTAAAGATATTAGCTGTTAATAGTGATTCATAGTTAAATTCGCAGATTTTGTTATTTATATTTAGGCTAAAATTTTGCGGACCTAGTTTAGGGATTTGGGTAGTTACTTCTTTTATTGTTAACCATGTTTTTTTGGGGCTGTTTTTTTATTGAAATCGTCAAACTGACTACCCATCAAATCCGTAGACTTTAAAAACTCTTCCATTAGTTTATATATGTGCATTTATAAGGCATCAATATGCAAATACCTCATATTTAGAATATATTTTCATTTCTATAATGTATTTTTATTAGCTTTATTGATAAATTAAATTTTAAAACGTTCCGTAAACCAATTTTGATCATAGAGAGCCAATTATTTTTCAGGACAAATTGAGTAAAGTTTATAATATCTGTCCACAATGCACTAACTAGATAAAATAAAAATGGTTTACCAGTAACAAGTCGACGATTAGAGCAAATTTTCTGGATTAAAAAAATTTTACATGTAAAACAACATAACTCATACATAGTTAAACTAAAAGATTTTTCGTTCCATTTAGAATCTAATTTGAATTAAAAATTTAATCGAATAAAATAATAACGAGACAAAAATGATAATGAATTTTGTATGATAGAAATACTAAATAAAAAATTTTTCTGTAGAATCGAATAATAGAATCGAATCTGTAGAATAGAAATAGATTTGGTTATCTAATGTATTAGATAACCAAATCAAATCGACAAATGAAATTGTTATGCAATTTATTACGTTTTTATTCAATTTTTACGGTTTTGGACACAACAAAACAAAAACTCGTCCCGGATTTATTTTTATATGGGGGAAATATAGTTAATGTAGATAATAATAACTGTGTTGAGGGACCAATTATTCGAATAGCACGTCATTGAATACTATATTATTATCGTTTTTCTGAGGCCATCCTTCATTATTTATGCTGACTGATGTTGATATTGAAAAACGGCAACGGGAAAATAATAAAATTTTGTTTGTTCACGAACGATAATATTTTTTCTTGCAGACTGCGTCTATACTGGTGCTGGTCGTGGTGGTCCGTTATGAAAATTACTTTACATTTTTTTTTTTTATAAGTTTTGCTTTTTATATGTTTATTTTTTTTTAAAAAAAGGATTGTTACGCCCTCTCCTCCGGGTCATGCATATTATAGCCGTATATCTTGATGAATTACGGTACCTATAATATGTACGGGATAGTTTTCCCCTGAAACACGCAATATGCGTGGCCGTTATAATGCATTTATGACAAATTAGTTAATTTGCCCCCCTCCATCGTTGTATAGACATTTTTAAAAAATAAGCTGTAATTTAATATTATATATCCATATGTTCACGTTGAAAAATAAATGTCTACTATATAGAGGTAGAGGTACTTTGAAAAATGATTTATTTGCGAAAATAAAAAATGGGTGATGAAAAAATTAAAATCGATTGATTTTTAATATTATTCGACTTCGTGTTCAAATATAGTTAATTATCGGCATTTCAATCGTTTCATAGGAACAAATAAATTATTATTTACCCATCAGAGACCGTAAATATAAATAATAAAAAAAAAAATTGTTTTAGATAATCGTATTCGAAAATATTACAATTAAATAAATGTAAATTGTATGTAAATATAATTTAAAAAATATTTACAACGAAAAACTAAGCCTGGAGTTAATTCCAGTTTTTGTGTATTTTTGGCTGGTTTCGACTAAAAAAAAAGCAATAATAGTAACTACACGAAATAGACGATTAAAAAAAACGAAATAATAGGTATTCTAGGCTGTTTTCTGTTCTTCGTATTTTTTTCTTTGTATTTCATGTACCACACTTTTTTTTACCAAATATCTTACTTCGATTATCAAATATAGAACCTTTTTTGAAATGTTCTCTGATACCATGATACTTTAGAGAGATTAGTTTTTTAAATTGTCATTAGTATTCGAGCTATTGTAAAAAACTTGGTTCTTTAGGTAAAA